AGGGGTAAAAGACCAAGTTAGGCATTTCACATAGAATTGGATAGATATCCGTTCTAAATGAAGCATGGATTAATGTATTGTGAAGATATGGTGTACCCTAGTTTCAAGTCAACACCCAGGGTCAATCCTAAAGCCAAGTAATCCTATAGGGACTCTTCTTGAATTCTCTTATAATGATCTTATCTACTAAATGCTAGAGGTTAAGATCAATATGTGGAATTTCAAGTTGAGTAAAAAGAAGAGTTTTGAATTTCTAATGGTGGGGGTACCTTTTCTAATTTTCTAAGACTAGTCAATAGGAAAGTCCTATGGCTAGACCTAGGCTACTAAAGAAGTTTTCTAGACCTCAACCAAAAGTGAGGTCAACAGACTTCTTGATGGAAAGAAAACTATTGGTTGCAAGTGGGTATACAAAAGGAAACCAACAATATCAAAAAAAGAAAGGAAAAAGTTCAAGGCTTGATTGGTAGCAAAGGGATTTCTACAAGAGAAGGGGATAGATTATGATGAAATTTTTTCTCCTGTGGTCAGACATACTTCAATCAGGGCAGCACTTGCTTTAGTAGCCATTTGAGATTTACATTTGGAGCAGATGAATGCTAAAGCTGCTTTCTTATATTTTGATTTGGAGGAGCAGATTTACATGGAGCGGCCAGAAGGTTTCACTCAACCTGGACACGAGCATCTGGTTTGCAGTTAAAGAAATCGATGTATGGGTTAAAATAGTCTCCAAGACAATGACACAAGCAGTTCGACTCCTACATGATTCAGATTAGCTACAGAGGATGTGAGTATGATTGTTGATTGTTGTGTTTGATTGTTGTGTTTATATGAAGAGCCTTGATGATCGTTCTATTATTTTTCTGTCACTGTATGTTGATGATATACTGATTGCTGCAAAGAATATGAATGATGTCTGTGGTTTGAAAGCTATATTGGGACAGGAATTTGCCATGAAAAACTTGGGTCCTATGAAGAAGATTCTTGGAATGGAGATTCATTGAGACAGAAGCTTAAGACGATTAGGTTTAACTCAACGAGACTATGCTGAGAAAGTGTTGGACATGTTTGAGATGAGAAAAGCAAAGCCTGTAAGCTCTCCTTTGGCAAATCATTTTAAGCTTTCTTCAGAACAGTGTTCTAAGACAGATACAGAAATCGAAGATATGACAAGGGTTCCATATGCTAGAGTAGTTGGCTGCTTGATGTATGTAATGGTATGTACTCATTCTGATTTGGCTCATGCTATTAGTCAACTATGCAAATACATGGCTAAACCTGGAAGACAATATTGGGAAGAAATCAAGTGGATTTTAAGGTATCTAAAGGGTATTGTAGGACATGGAATTATTTTTGGTAGTCAGCAGAATGATTCTTCAGTTGTGGGGTACGTTGATTCAGACTATGAAGGTGATTTGGATGACAGATGGTCTACAACTGAGTTTGTTTTTACTCTTAATGGAGGGCCTATATGTTGGAAATCAACAATTCAGTCTATTGTGACATTATCTACAACTGAAGCTGAGTACATGACAATAGCTAAAGCTGTAACAGAAGCCTTATGACTTACTGGACTAGTAAATGAACTGACTTTGAGCAAGGTGGAGTTCAGTTGCATTGTGATAGTCAGAGTGTTATTTATCTGATTAAGAACCAGGTGTACCATGCGAGAACCAAGCACATTGATGTGCAAGATCAAAGAATTGATTGCTTATGGTGAGATACTGTTGCAGAAGGTTGATACTGATGAAAATGCAGCTGATATGTTCACCAAGCCAGTTACTATCAACAAGTTCTTGCATTGCTTGGACTCGTTGAATGTCTGCAGTTGCTAGAGAAACATGGTGGCCCAACCCATATTGGAGCATGTGTAACTCCCAGGTATCTTTTCTCCTTAGGGGCTGAATATTCGCCAAGGTGGAGATTTGCTATGATATGACTCATATACCATATAGGGACAAACGCTGGAAAGAACCGGAGCTGAGCGGAGTGGAAGAATCTATCCCTATATGGTATATGAGCCATACCATAATAAATCGGGAAGTTACATTATGTGGGTTGAGGGTGCGGGGGCAACGCCCCACGGTACGGTACATGGGTAATGTTGTAATTACATATTGTACTTAGGTTTTACTCTTGGGGTTATAAATAAGGTACGGTACATGGGTAATGTTGTAATTACATATTGCACTTAGGTTTTACTCTTGGGGTTTTTACTCTTGGGGTTATAAATAGTATAAATAGGTCTGTTTGTAACCCCAGGAGGTATCCCAAATTCTGTAATCTCTTTTCTGAATATTGAAAGGAATTCGCCGCTCTTCTCCCGAGGACGTAGACATCTTTGCCGGACCTCGTTAAATCTTTTTGTGTTCTTCTGGATTTGTGTTGATTCTTGTTTTCTTTCGCCCTAATTTCACAACACTTATGATGTTTAAAATATCTCAAAGTTGTAACCATCCCGCACATACTTCTACCTTATCCAAATACAACTTTACTCAAAATTTGCCTAAAAATCGCTATCCTACACTGCATCCCACAAAATGGCCCGTAAACCCTTAATTGGTAGCTCTAGAACACATTTCACCTCCACCCCAACATCCTAAGGGATTGTTTGAGATCACTTCTATTTTTATTTATTATTATGATTATTATTATTATTATTATCTTCTTTATGTTTTTCTTTAAATTAAATAATATTTGCTTATGTTAGATATTTTTGGAAACCCAAATTTTTTTAGGTGTTCTTAATCAATTTTTAAAAGAATAGCATATAAAAATTATACTAACGAAATGTATTTTAAAAATTAAAACAAAAAGAAGAAAAGAATATCAAAGTGATGGCATTCACTATTATCTTTTTTTCTAACACACTTTTTAAACTCATCAAAATCACTCACTTAAATGAAGTTAAAATTCTTTGTAGCATCTCTAACTCATTACCACCCTTAGAAGTCCACTTCCAAGTCCCAAACCATTTCAATTAGTTTCTCATACATTTCCTTACACCAAAAAAAACTACTTCTCTAATAAGCTTTCACGAAAAAGTCTAATATATGCACTATATCAGTTCTAATATAAATTACAAATGCAATTAAATAAAGAGAAACAAGTTTCACCTTATGAAGTGACAAAGAGCATAATAACACTACAAACTTTATAATAATAATTAATTTTGATAAAAGAATTTTATTTCAACAACTTATAAGAGAAAACATTTATTTTGTGCATATTAAATCACTTGTATTTTCTACATAAACTAAAAAGTTTTTAAGCCTATAGGCAGAAGGCAATTGGTTCATCACAATAATGACATATTTGTCAAAAATAATGAAAAATAGAAGAAAATGTTGTACATCGATTGTTGTCAACCTCAAAAGTTCAATATCACCAATTTCTTATAAGCTTAACACATGCCAGTCACAAAATTCTTTATTATGACTAGTGACATGTTGACCTCACTTTTAATCAACTCTTTCCTTCATATGATTATGTCTCTTTCTTCGTGTCTCTAAGTGATTAATTGGTTGACTGTGATTTAACTGGCTCAATCGTTGCTTTGCAGTAAGTAAACTCTAGTAGACCCACCCTAGCTTATAATGTGCAGTTTGGAGTTTAATGATACTTACTTTGAAACTTGGGGAATCTAAACTCATGTTGGGTTTGATTTGGCTCAAATGTGAGTATTTTAATGGAGTTGTGTTAACTTGAAATAAAATTAAAGCAGAAATAAATTTAAACTAAAACTTAAAGCTAAATTGAAATTATATCTCAAATAAAATAATTTTAATTGATTAAAACAAAATTTAATTTAATTTAAATCTTAATCTGAATTAAAAAAATTAATTTATCATGAGCCTAATCTTAAACAGAACCAAAACATAAGACCAATTCAATAGAAGGGTAAAACTGTCATTTCGGTAGTTGGAGGTCTTCAAACCCTAGCCTTAAAATGCTTGTTCACTCGAGCTCCAATTCTAAGCGAGGAAAAGCTAGCCGACGTCCGGGGACGCGCAGCTTCTTCTCCAGTGGGAAAATCTGATCAGACATGGTACGTGGTCTGAATATTTCGATCTTGGCTTAGAGTTCCATAGCATGTTTTCCTTGTGATCACTGATTTCATGACCTGATGTTTGTTTATTTTCTTTTTCTCACTTCCTCTGAGGTACTCCACTGGTCTACCTAGTTCGGAACGGAAATACATGCATTGTGTTGCTTGAAAAATGTTTAATTTCATTTGATGTATGTAATTTATTAACTTGCTGTGGTGGTGGTTTATAGAATTGGCTAATCTTAGGTTCTTTCTATTCGTTTCGCGCTCTCTGTATATTTGATGCTGGAGACCTGTGCGTTGTTGAAAATTTGTTTTGCTAAGAATCGCATTCTCATTTCTCTCCTTTGTTGGTATGGAGTGTGCCTTTGAGAAATTGTCGTAAATTTGTAATTTTGCACAGGCTGTGATTTCACATTGAGGCTCTGTTTGGCGTAGCTGCAGCTGCGCTGCCCCAGGAAACTGTTGTAGGGAAGCAGCTGCGGGGAAGCTGACTGCCTGTTTGGTGCAGCTGTATGAAAACAACTGTAGGTCAACTGTTTCTGGAGAAATGACCATGGTGCCCCTATTTGGTAAAACTGTTCAAAAGAAGACTATAACAATTATATTTTTTGAAAATTCTGAAGCAGAAATTCATTGCTAAACAAAACAGAAAGTTCATATATCCTCACTTAATAGTGAATCCCGAAAAGTGAGAAAAAGAAATAAAATTAATAAAATTATAAGTAAAATAAGAAAATTTATACTCTTTGATGCCAAACATTACACAAGTTGCAGTAGTAAAATAATGAGCGCCAAAAAAACTTGAATGAGTTCTAAATTATTTTGTTTATATCATACAATCGTGGTTACTTAACACATATTATGAGAATTGTTCCCTTGAAGAAACCATCCATCCAATGTATTTGCCTGACATTTGGCTGATGATATTTGTTCAAAAGCTACATCTCCCTCTCCCTCAGCCCAACCAATTCAAGATGAAGCACAACTACTTGAAAGTTTTGAGATTTATCCTTATGAACAATGTTTAATGCAAATTTCGTGCACAATATTGAACATTGTTGAATCCAAATCTATCCATAGATGGTGAAGGAAAGTTAGATGGCCCGTGCATTTGGCCTTTGCAGGGTAGTTTGCATGCCTCATAGCCATCGCCCGAGGGCACATAGACATGCAATACCCAAAATAAAGGGTTGCCCACATAAGCGCCTCAACCTCATCCTCCTAGAAAGTATCAAAGCACGATTCCATGGAAAAGAACACTTAAAGCAGCCTTCTTTTCACTTTTATTGATCTTATCAGAGCTCTTTTGTATTTTGGTCTTCCATCTTTCCTTATATCGTAAACAAGCTTAAAAACTTTAATTTTGCATTGTGAATTTTTCAAAAATAATAAAATCAAAATCAGTCATACTGATAACTTATTCATTTAGTTGAGTTGATGACATCTATAAGCATACTCCCATAACTCAGTCACAAAACTGTTACCATAGTTCATTGATGTTCTAAACAAAAGTTTCATGTAAACAATTGAATCATATCACGTAGATAATTTAAATAACAAAACTCTTAAAGTAATTTGAATCACAGTTGAGGCATTATGCCTAAATCAGGAGTAGGAAGTTCAGGATTCTAGCCGAATGGTTATCAATATGTAAGATTCCTCTTCATATTTAAAAGAGTACAGTCATCAACATTTCTCTGTGGGAGAAGCATTCATAATAGCATAACTGAGGGATCAATTAGAGTAAAGATAAATGTCAATTGATGGAAAACATGATGTATCTACCGATTAAGAATGTGTACAAAATTAGTTGATTCCAATAACAGTGATGAAAAAGATCTTAAATCTATCAATTGAGAATGAGCACAAAATTAGCTGATTCCAAAAACAACATCAATATTAACAGATATCACTCTATTATACATATCCTTCTAATTCCACCATATTATCATGTCCTTCAAAAATTTTCTCAAAATGGTTCATGATAGAATGAATATCAAGCTAGCTAGTGACAATATCAAAGGAAACATAAAACATAAATAATTGGGATTCGTTTTCTATCCATATTGTGTTGTTTTATTCCCACTTCCTCAGTTTACAATATTCTTAGTTGAGTGTCCCAGCTCAAATCCAGCTCCAGAACCTCCACATATCACCTTAGAAATTTTCTTTGGTTTTCAGAAAGCAGAAACATTCTTTAATTAGCCTGTATTGGTAGTCTTCCAAGTTAGTCCACCATGTTTGTTTTGTTGTATGAAATATACAATTTGCCTGTCCAATAATATCTAAGAAGTACAGTCCCTCAGTCCAAACCAAGCAAATGCAAGGAGAAAACATGCCAAGCATAGATGTAAGACAATTAGCATTTCAACGCTGTATTTTGCTTATTTAAGGCTCAAACAAAGTAAATTAATGGAGCAATACTAAAAAAATTTTCTACCCATGCTGTAGCTGCATTGGTTCCACTCACAAACATGGTTGCGCTGTCAACACTAAGATCATCATAGGTAGCTCTTCCTAATACACCTGCCAAGGTGAAACAATGCCACAGTGCTAAAAACTGTCTTCCCCAAATGAATGGAATGAATCACCCAAACATTTTCTAACATCTGTCAATTAAACTTCAACACTGGAAATTCTCGAATCACATTAATGAAGTTCTTCAGCAAGAAACAAGCTTTTCACACTGATTTCATAAATATAAAACATCCTCTGCAATTCAGTTGAACTGTTATAGAAAGTCAATTCAAAGCATAATATGCATGGAGAGCGGGTAGACTAAAATCTACCTGCATTAAGCAACAATCTTCCCTTTTTCCATCTTCAAATCATTTCTAACAACAAGCACCTGCAATGACAAATTTGTGCCACGTATGAAAATATGCACACCGGCATACCTATTATCTTTCAAAAAGAATGTATCGTTTTAAGGTTGACAAATTTATCAACACCATCTTATCTGTTTCATTCAGGGACTGATGATAGACCATAAATATTACTAAAATCTATATTTTGGTTAAAACGTGCTACTTAGTCGATATATTAAGGGAAAATGTCAAAATCTCAACTGATAAGTAAGAATGACAGAAGGAGAATAAAACCAAAACAAACACTAACAAATCAACAAAAATACAGCAGAAGATTGGATTCAGATTTTACCATTTTGAAGTCTTCGAGGATTTCCGCGAGGCTTTCTATCTCAAGGAGAGTAGGCTTCTTATTCTTGCTTTTCTGAGTAACCACCTTCATCGCGTCTGTGTTCCTCTTGTCACGAGCCTTTCCCCGGACCACATCTTGGATAAAGAAGAGAAGCCTCTGCGCCCCTTTAATGCTCCTCTTCTTCAGATTTTCATTATCGTCATCGTCATCGTCATCAGAATGATTGGGGGCACGGATAGACTGAGCGGAGAAAAGGTAACCAACTGCAAAACACACGACGCCCACGAAGGAGATGGTGCCACTGCCGGCACTCAGCAGCAGAGAGACCGAAACGCCCATCGCCGGCGAATTGCCGCCACAATGCGGAGGCCGGGAATAACTAACCTATGTTCTGCCTTTTGCTCAAAATCATTCGCTTCCTCTCTCCGCTTAGTGTAAACCCTGCCCGACTCACCGCAGGACGTCCTGCAATCCAGCAATCAATTTAGTTTCGCGATTTGGAATAGGCGGGAGAAGAATTCTTTGCGCCGCGAGGGTTTGGTCTGCGGGAGGGAAGAAGAACGCGCGCGGGAATAGGCGGGAGGAGGATTCTTTGCGCCGAGGGTAAAAATTTTTTTTGACGAGGCGAAAGCTGGGGCCGCGGGATGGATATCGCGGCCCGCTTTTCTTCCTCTTTAGCTTCGTTCTGCCGCGACGCTGGGAGCCAAACAATGGAATTTCGTGATTCCGTGCCGCGAAGCCGTAAAAAAGCGGCCCCAAATGGAGCCTGAGTCTCTTATGAACTGTTTTCTAAATAATGATGCATTGAGATAAAAGAACTTTTGCACTAATTATTGATGGTTTTCTTTCTTATTGGCTTTAACATTTTCAGCGCAATGCTCAGAAATGCATATTATTAACATGTTTTTTGTTTTCGTTCCTTGTTTATCTGCCGGCAAATTATTCGTAATTTTATATTATTTTTTATTTATTTATGTCTATCTTTACCATATCATAGAAGAATTTTAGGCATGATGACTGCTGAATTGTTAACATATGGTTATATGTTTTTATCTATATTATTTATTGGGCAACCTTTCTACGTTCACGTGATTATGTCATTGTTTTTCTGCAGGCTAGAGGACTGAAGAAACATCTCAAGAGGCTCAATGCCCCCAAGCACTGGATGCTTGACAAGCTTGGTGGCGCTTTCGTGAGTCTGAAAATCCATTATTTCGCTTTATGTTGCTGTACATTCGCCTACTTGTTCTTATTGTAGAATTTTCTATTTGCCTTGTAGGCCCCAAAGCCATCTTCTGGACCTCATAAAGCTAGGGAGTGTTTGCCTCTGATCCTTATATTGAGGAACCGGTTGAAATATGCTCTCACTAATCGTGAAGTCATTGCTATATTGATGCAGCGACTTGTGATGGTGGATGGAAAGATTAGGACAGACAAGACTTATCCCGCTGGGTTCATGGGTATGCTTAGCATGAAATAACTATTGGGAATTTGTTATAATGCCTTGTTATGATTTATGTTGAAATTTTTATTATGACTTTTTCATGCAGATGTTGTTCAAATCCCAAAAACGAATGAAAATTTTAGGCTTCTTTATGACACAAAGGGACGATTTCGTCTTCATTCAATTAGGGATGAAGAGGCGAAGGTGCACCCTTATTCTTCTGTGAATTTCAAACATTTTATATGCTTAGCTAAGAATTTTGGATGAACTTAAAATATGGTTAAACATGATTTCTTTTTGTGCAAGCTACCGGTAATAGGTTTTAACCAAGAGCATTGTATACAATTCGAATGTAGAAGCATAGTTTTATGACAAACTAACAGATGGTCAAATTTCTGATGTTTAAAATTAGCTATTGAATTTATGAAATTGCTAGTAATGGATGGATGGATGGATGGATTTTTTTTTGAAACTATTATAGTTATAGCACAAGAAATAAAATAAAAATAGTCTCAGAAGGCTTTACATGATTTTTGATGGAAAGAATTTGATCTTTCGGTTTGAATAATTTGGACATTTTTTTCACAGTTTGTTGATAAATTCAATGCATTTTGTAAGACCGATTCAAACATAATTAATGGATATAACTTCAGACATCCATATAACTGCAGTCGATATGAATATGAACTAAACTATTTTCTAGTTAAAGACATGTTTTGATGTAGCTGAATCGTTGATCCAACTATTGAAAAGTACCAATAATATTTTAATTTGGAGCTTAGTTACCCAAGAAGAATTCAAATATAAACTACCTTACTTGCTTCTGTAGCCATCTAAATAAACTGACATGGGCTAGAAGAAGTCATTCCAAATTTCAGTAATGGGAGAGACATCTGAATATTTAAAAGTAGGCAGAAATCTGATGTAGCATTGGCGCTTATAAGTGCACTTGAATGGTGTCTTGTTTCAATGGGATGTAGTTATTAATCTATTAATAAAGGACTAAAACATTGTGCTAATTTAGTGCTTAAATACTTAGCAACAATGTAATTGAAAACACTTTCACTTGACTTCACGAACATCTACATCAACATATCAGAACCTTCGAAGCACTGACACGAACACGGGGACACAGACACGACACGATACGACGACACGATATGACATGGATACGTTTTTATATTTTTAATAAATTTTTAGTATAAATATATATTTTTAATATTTTCTACTAAAGGCGTAACAAAACAACAAATGTAATCATTAAGAAAACTTTATAATGATAAACTCATAAAAGTTGTTTTTGACAATATCAAAATTACATTCAAATATAAAAAAAATAATTATCAAAATACTTAATTCCGATGTCATCAATAATAAAATGAAGTAAAATATAACAAAATGTCAAAATATAACAACATAATGAGCACTAATTAGAGTTAATTCAACAGTAGTGTCATCATTTGTGCTTGCTCCATTACTCTCATCAATGACAGCTTCACCTTCATCAACGAAAAATACTGTTTCTATGCATGAATTATCAAAAGAATGATTAGCAACTTTAAGAATTCCAATATTCTCTATTTTAGCTAAGGCTTCTCATCAACATCCCATAATTTTGTGTCTCTTTGAGAATATTTTGGGCTTCTCCTAGATAGAAGACGGAGATTAGTATGAACAAATACCAAATATTCACCTCGTTGCAGAGTGATTTTGTTCATTTCAAGTGGATTAATAAAGGAATATGTACTTCAATTTCTTTCACAACAAGAAGATGAACACGATTGAGCCAATAATTTGAAAGCTAAACATGAACACGATTGAGCCAATACACGATTGAGCCAATAATTTGAAAGCTAAACTTTGTAGTTGTGGGGAACTTGCTTCATATATCATCCAAAATGCATTTCCATCCATAATAGCTCTAGAAGCTATGGAATCATGATCAGTGAAAGCACCGTTAAATCCAAGGAAATTAGTAAACTCCAAATTAACAAGTGATCTTTCTTCAATATTTGAGAAAATTCTCTTTAATCATTTATTTTTCTTAATTGATATCTCCATATCCTAATGTAGAGCAACTTGATCTGGAGCTTCACTTAGCCAAACGTGATTGTAATATCTAATAAAAATGCACTTATAAGTGATAAAATTAATACAAGTTAGGATTAGTAAAGAATAAATATTAATTCAAATAATACCTTGAATTGAGAGAGCGAGCTAAACAATGAAGATCAATGTTGCTTTTATTCCATCTTTTTACTAAAATCTCATATATAGCTTTATAAAATTTGGAGATTTTATTGTCGTTTTTCTTTCTCTCGTGTCAATATATATTATCTTTTGTCTTTTCTATCGTAGAATGCCATATATTGTAGATAAGATGGAGACAATGTTTGTCTGTATCAGCTAATCTCAATAATCATATATATTTTCTTGTAAAATCAATAATATAATTAATTTTATCCGACCACACATCACACAAAATTTTTTACTTCACAAATTTTGCCTTGCTTATATGATCTTCATGATATATATTCCACTTCTCATTGATCACCATTATTTAGATCCCTTGTTTTATTGCTTTGAATCTTCTGAGCATGACTATATTTGATGCAAAACGATTTCTTGCATTGGCTAACATTTTCAGTTTTACAAACTCATTGAACATTGATAAACTCATCGAATGATTTATTATAAAATTTTTTATAAAATTGACATTAACTGTAATGTCAATTATACAAGCCATATTGTTCATAAACTATCTCATTTCCTTCTATATTCTTTGGGGCATATATATTTTTCAATGCTAAGTTCAATTTATGAACAACACAATGAATTTATAAAAATATGAAGATATTTAGCTTCAATCAATGCTCCTGCAGCTTTGCACACAGGTGCATTATAATTAATTACTCAAACCACTTTATTTAAACCTACTCTCGCAATTACTTCTTTAATTTTATTGACGATATAAAACTTATTTTTATATGTCCAAAATCAGTAGCTTTTATAAACAGTGGTCTAGATTCCATGACGCACATAAAATTAATGAGAGGTTTTCTTTGCGCATCTGTCCAACCATCACAAACTATGATAACTTGTTTCTCATTCCAAGTCTTTTTTATAGGCTCAACCATTATCTCAACATGCACTCTCTCTTTTTTAAGCAAGGTTGTTCTTAACAGACTATCATCAAGAGGAATATATTCAACGATTGTGCAGTTGGTTTGCATATGAGATCATATTAAAATAATATGAATTTTTTGCCAAATGAAATGGAAGAGCTGCGAAATAAAACATTCGGACGATTTCTTCGAGTAAATGATCTTTAGGTTGTAAATTAAATGCTCTTTCAATAGCACTGTTGTCAAACATTATTCTTTTCTTATGATCATAATTGCACCCTTATGCTATAAATAAATGCTCACTTGACTAAGAGTTGCACAACTGGTTAGGACCACTTTGTCCAGAAGAAGGAAATGAAATCTTCTTATGTATTAACATCAAATTTTTGCATTTCTTGAATTTGTATCGAAGTTACTTTAAGGCATGCTCGAATACCAACTTCATATTGTCGAAACAAGCGTGCTCTAACCCTTGAATATGTTCCCTTGTACTTTCCTTAACAATAATGACATTGAATTTCTACATTGCCTCCTACTCCGATTGATCACAATTTTTGAAATTCGGTGACATGCCAATAAAGGCTTTGTCTTGTCTTCTATGGAATTGTTGGAGCATTTGTAGTTGCCATTTTCCTATTAATCAAATGCAGAAAATATAAACATTTAACATACTTTTAACACATAGTTATTCTGTATTTACATTTGACAACCAAATCTACTAATGCCTAGGAATTCGGTGTTATGTATGTAAATGCCCCATTTAATTAATCTAAATACGACATGATTGGTGTTGTTTATTCAAATGTTAGGGCTGATGCTTACATGCCTACATTCAACCGTGAAGGAAGATTTAAAGATTTCAACTTTAGAACCTTGACATAATTCCTTGCATATTTATCCGCATACACTCAATTCTTTCCCTGTCACATCAAAGTCATCAAAACAAAACACTAATTATCAAGGTTTACAAATCATTGAATCAAATCTACCTTTTCATGCACATATAAAGTTGTATGCAGAAAAATAAGAAAGTATTGGAGTGAGATAGATAAATACATAACAATTCGTGTTAAAAAAAAAAAGAAAGAAAAAAAAAAGAAAAAAAAAAGAAACATTGAAAAAATATGGGACAAAGCACAAAGGTCTAACTTCTAAAACCATATGTGTGGATCGTTCCCTAGCTCGCATCAAAACTTTGGATCGTCTCTAGCTTATGTCGAAGCTTTGGATCGTGAGGGAGATTTCGTGGAAGCTCTTTATCATGCTCTAGATCGTGCCCTAACTGGAGTTGAAGCTCTGGATCGCCTTCTAGCTTGCGTCAAAGCTCTGAATCTCCTCGAGGATTGCATGGAAGCTTTGTATCATGCTATATATCTTGCCCTTGCTCGAGGCGTAACTCTAGATCGCGTTGAAGACACCCTCACTTTGATTAGGGACACTAGACAACTCGTTTGTGTCGATCAGGGCTGTTCGAGACTCCCTTGCTTCGAGCAGTTACGCTGGACGTAGACTTTCTCGTTGCTTGCTTCGACAGGGCTACTAAGAATGATTATAAGGTGATGATAAGACAGCATGACCTACAGAACGTCACAGTTTTGTTTTTTGTTGTCCCTGCTTTGATGCCACTCAAATTTATCTTCACATGTCTAGTGTAGAGCTGTGTCCAAGTGGTGTCGAGAGATGTCCTGGAAGTGTCGAATTAATTAGACAGCTCCGACACGTTTGGTGGAGTGTCACATATCGACTCGTGTTTGAGCTGTGTCCGTGTCCGACACGTTTTCGTTACGGGTATTACTTTTCGAGGTGTTAGTGCTTTATAAACCAGAACACAATGGAATGAATCATATCACTTTCTTATTTGTCAATAGAGACTTGTACTTAAGTGGAGAGAAACATGTGATGAAGCTTTGTTCAAAGAGGCTTTTGGTCCCATAATTTATTTGAAGCACCACCAATGCTTAAGATTTTATTTTTTAATTTGTATTACTCTCCAGTTAGCATTCTGAATTTTATAAGAATTAAATGATTAAGTTTATTGTAAATAAATGCTAAGGATATTCACAAGAAATCTAAAGGAAGGTAGCACATGCAAAAACACATGAAATTCTGTCATAGTGATACTCTGAAGTTATATTAAAATGATCATAAGAGGACTAAAAACATTGTTACATTCATTGGGAATACCCATTCAATAACTATATTTGAAAAAGGTTTTCTAAATGTGGGCAAATAATGTTTCATTGAAAACATATGAAGATTTACTTGGCACAACTTCTTTATGCATGCATTTCTTGTTGCCTAACTTTAGAGGAAAGTAATTGATAGTCTTTTGGGAGAAATTGCTACAATAGGTAAATTATGAGTTTTTTAGTTTCAACCAAACTTGTGGTTTAAGATGACTAATTCATTAAGAAGAATTCTATAGAAGTTTTAGGAGTTATTAAAAACAAATCTTATACGGGCAAAAAGGCTTGGTGTAGTGAGGTTATATAAAGATTATTGTGGAAAAAGAAATGTGTTTTAAGGAGTTAAAAAATTCATCTTTGTTTCAATTAAAGTTCTGTAAAGAGCATAATAAATAAATATAGTTTTTAAAGGCTTAGATGATGGCGTTGGTTTTATGGAAGTAGATAAGAAGATGTATCGAATAGCTATGGCAAGAAATGAAATATCTACCTCAATCAAGCTATATGCATTCGAAGCAGATATAATAGTTCCTAGTTAAAATTAACACATCAATGGTAAATAAAACTGTTATTTTGAGAAATTATTAATGGTGGGCTTTAAAGAAAAAAAAAAAGCCATACTTTAGAAGTATATAATGAACAAAATAATGGGCTTTATATCATAGATTGGTTTAAAAGTTAAAGTTTTATTATGTCTGAAGTCGATTTATAAATGTCAAAATATAAGGGGTTGTATGATTTACTCTTTTTAAATGCATATATTTTAAATTGTTAAATCAATAATTTAAAATTTAGGAGTTGGTTGGTTTTATTAAATTTAAGTGCATTGAAATATTTTATGTTTTTCATTTAAATGATTTTTAATGAAGATGAGGGTAGGTGTGGGTGCAATAGTGATGATAGACAGCGGAGACGACTGCTGGTAGAATTGAGGGCAAGAGCATAGTGTGATAGTTGAAAATCACTTGATTTGGGTGATTTTCAAATACAAGCAAACTTTGGTTTTGGGGATTTTAAATCTCCCTCAAATTTGAACTATATTTTTTTTCGCTTCATATCGAACACTAAGAATATCAAAGTATAGGGAAATGGAATGCACTATCCTACAATCGATCAAATAGCCTTAAATACAAATGAGACAATTTTTTAAATTTGGAGTGTTGCCAGGGCATTATGATGATTTGGTTTACAAATCTTTTTTAATGGAATTTAATAGACATCGGTTGCCTAATGATTGGAGAAGGAATATTTATCATTATTTAAGAATAAAAAAGAATCTCAAAATTGTGATATTTACAGAGGAATGAAGTTATGTTGGAGAGCAATTGAACATAAACTTAGAAAGCATCATGTCATTATTTTGTTTCCTTCTTGGAAGATTTATTATTGTAGAATTTTCTGGGTTAATACTCAGTTGAAAAGTTATAGATGATCGAGAAGATCTTCATATAATTTTCATTGATCTTAAGAATCATATGATCAAATACTATGAGATTTGAATTGGTGTTGATTAAGGAGCACGTGTCTCAATGGTATGCTAAGGTTTTTGAAGACTATGGGAAACTAGCAAATATTAGAAGTTTGGTGGTTGAAGAGTTTTCAAATTATGGACGAGTATATCAATTATTAGCGTTGAATTGATATACTTTTGTATTGGTTATAACTATTTAATGAAGGAAATTCTCAGTGAGCTATCTTAGTGTAATGCTTCTTTTATATCTGTAGATTACATAGTTTTAATCAGCGGGTTAGTTGGTAAAATAAGTGAAAAGTCAGAGCATTGAGAAAATGTTAGGATACAGAGGACTTTTAACTACTAGAATAAATATTGAGTATATGATATGTAATTTTAATGTGTGTGTTGTTGATAATTAATGTTATTAAAGGATAAAATGATATTTATGTGGGATAGATTTAAGTATTTTATACTTTTTAGGTGGAGACATGGATATTGATGAGAGTATAAGTTTAAGATGAAGGTTGAGTTGTTAAAATTATAGAAATGCCTTGGGAATATCATGCAATAAAAAGATGTTATGTAGCTATAAAGAGAAATTTTATACACTGCAAATAAGCCCTTAATGTTGTATGGATTTTGAGAGAATAGTGGTAAAAAGTTCACTTATGGGAAAAATGATGGAAATGAGCTTTTTAAGATTGATGCATGCAAAATTCAGAAGAAGTTAATGATTGGTCATATTAGAGGAATAGTGGGAGAGACATTTATTGAAAATAAGGTATTTGGGAATTGACATGGGGCTGTTTGGTTGCTCACATTAATGATATAATGCAAAGTAATTGTAGTGGATTTTTAAATTTTAGCATTTGATTGAATGAAAGTGGAATGAAATGTAAAAATTTGATGAATTCTGAATTTACTATTTAGTTCAAATTTAGTGTATTTGAAAATTGCACAATTCGACCAAATTTCAAATGCACTGTAGGAGCCGTCGCCGCCATATGACACCATTTGGTTGTCCCCTCCACTGCACACACTTCTATCGCTACTGCTCTCACCAACTTTTCCATCATCTGTTGGTCACAGCTGGCCATTGTTGTTGCTTGTTAGCAACCATAGGTCATTCACTGCTGCCCTTGTGGATTACTGTATGTCCCGCTCCCACCTCGCTATCGGCCGCTGGCCTCATGCTGCAGTTTGTCTCATTTTTGCCATCATCATGTATGTCCCGCTCCCACCTCGCTATCGGCCGCTGGTCACAGTTGGCCATTGCAGTCATTTTTGCCATCATCATTGTGGGCTTCATTTGTCTTTGTTTACCTACCATCTCCAAGTCGATTGCCAACCCCTTGTCGACGGCTTCTGCCATTGTTGGTGCCTCTGGCTATTGCTATTGCTATTGCTGGTCATTGGTGTTGTTTGCTGCCTCCATCATCACCCATTGGTTATCTGTTACACCAGCCACCTCCGCTGGCCTCATGCTGCAGTTAGTACTCACCATATTATGTCTCCTTATGATGTGACATGAGGGAAATATGTTAGTACTAAATTACAGATGAGTATGTAATATTAAGGTTTTTAACCATTCAAGCAGAATGCCCAAAAAAAATAAAATCAAATGGACAATATTAAAATATGTTTTCTAAAATTTCTAGTATCATGTTTTTAATATTGATCTTGTTTTAAAGTTCTGTATTTAGTTTGAAGAATCATCATGTTTTTAATATTGATCTTGTTTTAAAGTTCTACAGTATTTAGTTTGAAGAATTTGTATTTGAAAACAATTTAGACAAAAATTATGAAAAAAAGCCATGTCACCACTTTTTAGTTAACTTATGAGTTTTTTTCTTCTCAAGTCACATATGAATGTTATGTAAGTTATATAAATTACGAAATTATTTCATTGCTAAGATAGAAAATTAATTGGAAGGCATAATTTGATTTGTTTGTATTATGAAAGGAAATTATGGATCTTTGCTTATGTCAAATTTAAAATGAAGGGATATGATTTTTAATAAACAAATGGCATCATGTTTTTTAACATTTTGACACGTTTGGTTACGACATAATCTTGACATCCTCGATTGCACCACATGCATTAAGTACATGTCGTATAGGCCATTGCCATTTAGTCGCTCTAGATTGGCTTTTTTCCATTTTTTTTGTTTTCATTAATACCTTTTGTAGTAGGAGGATTTTTTGTATGTATTTATGAGATTTATATTCTTATTCTTGATTTAGATGCCTGATAATTGTAAGGTTAAGTTTTTATTTTCTTTTATCATGCAAAAATATTACTCTTCCAAATTGTTTGTTTCAGCTAAGCTTTTGTCTGCCTTGTGTGCAACTGAATTTTGTGTTTTGCTTAAAATCAAGCTCTAGACAGGAAGATGTGACAGAATAAAAACTCATGATGATGATGATGATGATTTTCATTTTGATTATCTTTCTGCACTAGTATTTAATTTTATTAGATTTTATAGATTTACTTCTTAACCTCAAAAGGATTATGAGGGATAAGCTGAAGAACAAAGATTACATGAATAAAAGTTCAAAATGATTTGCAAAGAATAAACTTCATAAATCCGAACATAATTGGGGAAAAGGTTTATTATGCTGGTTGTAATGATCATGTTCTCTGTCAATTAAAGCTACTTTCAGTGTGATGGTATTGTGTTTCCTTGCTTTCTGTACCTATTGTTTCACAAACACAATTCTTATTTATTTACATATTTAGCACTAAAATATTCATATTTACGCGCTTGCTACTCAAATCTTTAACATAACATCAAAAAAAATTACCATTCAATTCTTTTTAAAGGTGAAATACACCTGCTAATAGTGTTTCAACTGTTCTTGATTTTCTGTTTATGTAGTTGAAGCTCTGCAAGGTTCGTTCGGTCCAGTTTGGCCAGAAAGGAATTCCATATCTCAACACCTATGACGGACGAACAATCCGCTACCCCGATCCTCTCATTAAGGCGAACGACACCATTAAACTCGACCTCGAGACCAACAAGATAGTAGACTTTATAAAATTTGATGCTGGCAACGTCGTGATGGTTACCGGCGGAAGGAACAGGGGCCGTGTCGGAGTGATCAAGAACAGGGAGAAGCACAAGGGTACCTTCGAAACCATTCACGTCCAGGATGCCGCCGGGCAAGAGTTCGCCACCCGTCTCGGCAATGTTTTTACCGTCGGAAAGGGGACCAAGCCATGGATTTCCCTTCCGAAGGGGAAGGGTGTTAAGCTGTCCATCATTGAGGAAGCCAGAAAGCGCCTTGCTGCTGCTTCAACTGTCGCCGCTTGAGCGTAGTAGGGCGATTATGTTTTTGTAAGGCCAACTAAAATTACAAAGCAAGAAGGGAGTTTTGATTCTGAAATGCTTTGTTTTTAAGTCCTAATCTTCTGTGTTAATTCTTTTTTTTGCCTGTTATGGGTGTATATGCTACAAATCTCTGGCACTGAGCTTTGCACAATGCTTATGTTTTCATTACAACAATGATGAGAAATCAAATCGTTCACAATTCTATATATGAATGATGATTGCTTTATTTATCTATTATTTGTTTATTCACATATTGTTTCTTTGGAGGCCATCGTCTTATGAATACATGCAAGTTGGCTTATAATCATCTCGCAAATGGAATTGATTTGTGGGGCATTTGCATACATTCTGATTACCATGTGTTTACATATCTAACACAAACTTTCATTTTTTACATTTATTACATTGAAAATGACACTATTTTAATTTTTAAAATGCGAAATACATATTTTTTGTGTGCGATATGATATCGTATATGTGAAATTTGAAGTTTAGATGTTAGATATGCAAATACATATGAATTAAGTGGGTATGCAAGTAAATCTTTCATTTTATTTTTGATGTAGTTAAAAGTTGAATTAAATTAAGATTGAGTTGCTCAAATAGCTGAAAAAAAAGCAAATTTCCTTAAAATTTTTTAATTATATTGCATATATTATGCACGCACATACACCATTATTTATATTTTTAAGCTGAAATCGAACATGCTCGTTTGAATCGAAATTGAACTGCGGGAACTATTTACATGGGATCATTTTAATGTCAAAGTTTATAAAAGTGTCAAAATAGTTTCCGACTATTGTAAAATTGAGCTTTAATAGTCCTTCATAGGGATTATTTAAATCTCAATTTAAATAGTCTTGGGATCATTTTAACACATCTTTAAACTCTGGGACTAAAACAATCACTTTATATGATTAGAAACTATTTTAACACTGAACTCATTAGCAAACCATTATGACAAAAATTGTTACAAAAACAAATTCACCATTAGAAAGAGAACAAAAAAAATAATATAAGCAAATGAAAGCACTTGAGGCCCATTAATTAAAAAAATAATAATTATATCCTTAAAATCATAAATTTGAGTCACATATTTTATAATTAAACAATTAAAAAAAAAATTTGTTGGTTCCCTTCATTGCTTCTAGGGTTGTCAAAAAGACTCGTTGTTCACGAACAACTCATGTTCGGCTCCAATTAATAGGTGGGCTTTTTATCATTTTTATATTCTTATGTTGTACAGTTGAACATATATTTTTTTCTATGAATAGTGATATATATATATATATATATAGATTAAATTAATTGACTATAAAGCTACAAAGATTTATAATCAATTAAAAGTATTAATTAAGATAATATAATACAAATTATTAAATTAAATTCAAATAATGTTTTAATATAAATAATAATTTTTAAATTTTGCCCCAATCCTTAATATCTTATGGTTGTCAAAACGACTCCTTATTCGTGAACGGCTCCTTATTCGTGAACGGCTCGTGTTCGGCTCACTAAAGAAACAAGCCGGATAAGCCGGATACAAATACACTTTTTGAGCTCGAAATATAAACGAGCCGAGCAGGAGCTGAGTCTGGGCTCGCTCATGTTCGGCTCATTTACACCCCTGATTGCTTCTCTATTAAGTTTCCTCTACAAATAATGTAGCTTTACTGTTTGCTTTGTAGATGATTGAACTTTCATTGACCATCAACACCAACAAGGATCCACGTCAGCCGTGTGTTGGCTCGACGTCAGCCATCCTCCTTTTCTATTAAAGGAACCAATATATTATCAAGTAACACTTATTTTATTTTATTTTATTTTTATTTGAGATTAAATAAATAAATGGCTTGAAGATGGGCAATGACTAACACAATCATCAAATTTCTTAACTAACTCCTTTAAAGCAAGTGCAATATTGTAATTTACATTTGGTCATCCTATCATCTATAAATATGAGGGTCATTTTGTGTAAATGCGGTTTTTGGTTCCCCTAATTGTAACCCAACTATTTAAGTGAAATAAAATGGATCTAAGAGCTTCGGTGTTGAGAAATTAGGGGGAAGAAAACAAGAATCGACACAAATCCAGAAGAGCACACAGAGATTTAACGAGGTTCGGCGTCGGCAAAGGTGTCTATGTTTTCGGGAGCAGAGCGACAACTTTACTTCTATCTCAAAAAAGAAGTACAAGATCTGGGATTTAGACCTAGGGTTACAAACAAACCTGTTTATAACCCTAGAGTAAACCCTGAGTACCATATGTAATTTCAAAATTACCCATGTACCGTACCGCGTGGCGTTGCCCCCGCACCCTCAACCCACATAACGAAACTCCTCCGATTGGACAAATTCTTCTGCTCTGCTCTGCTCCTCTTCGTTCCAACATCTGTCCCTTATATGATATATGAGTCATACCTAACAATCCATTAGTTTAATATTTAAATACCTTAACAATCTCAAAATTGAGTAATCTTTAACTTGTTAGATTCTTCTCTGTCATAACATTCAATTTAATTATAGGAATGCAATATTCAAAGATCATTAGATTTTTTTAATTATTATCTAAAAATTTACAACTATTATGCTTTAAATGTTTGATTTGAGTTTATTTAGAATCAGTTACGATCAATTTTCATTTCATTGAACTTGTCTCATCAAGACTTAGAATTCAATAAAAGTTGGAGTTTAAATTGTTTTTAGATTCATTTTAGTAAATTTTTAATTCAAATAATGCAATGAGTGTGTGGTTGATCAAGTGGATCTTTTGTTGAAGTATTATTTGCTTCTAGTGCTCATACACCATAATCTTTTGAGTCTCAAAAATGCTATTAAAAAAAAAATTTCCCTATGCATGCTTATTTCATGCCATCATTTTAACTTGTAATCATTTGAGAACATCATTATAAGTCTTATTTGTGAAAATTAATTACAACTCCCATATTTAATTTTGTTACACCATCACTTCAATATTTATGATTATTTGTAATGGAGATTGAGTAAAGCTCTCAAATTTACGTTTTATAGCTCATTTTATTTGTGATTTGAAAATGCTATCCATTCCTCTTAGTACAAATGCTCCTCCTGATTGAAGGAAAGCTCACACATCTCTAGTCTTTTGTTGTAGGCCCTTATTATCTCTTACAAAAGGTTTGTCGTTGTCTTATATAGACTGACATGCTCATTTACGAAGAGAGTTGAAATGTCATGAAGTCATAAGTGATATAAGGACTTGACATCTTCCATGAGTGATCATTAGCCTAATTTACTATCATGCCTTTGATGAAATATTAATTCCTAATTCAATTTTTTTTTGCCTTTGATGAAATATTAATTCCTAATTCAATTTTTTTTAAAAAAATAATTTGAATAGTGAATCAAAATACTTTCTACATCAAGTGAATTTCTTAGTGAAATATTAAAAATATCATATAAATACTTAAATATGTTGATTAATATGTTTTCTAAACATATTTTAATTTCTCAAATAATTTTAAAAAATACATGACAAAGTATATCATTTTTCATTAAAAAAATAAAAAAAAAACATAAAATTTAACTATATTTTACCTTTTAAAACATCAAATTTAACTATAGTTTAATTATAGTTTACCATTTAATTTAAAATTTAACATAAAATTTAACTATAGTTAACCATTTAATAAGTTAGGTCAAGCAAACAAAATAATCAAGCAAGTGTCACCCTAAAGTTGATGTTTAAGTATACATCAAAAGGGCCTTTTGATGGTTCATGAACCACTGGTGGGTGACATCATTGGCATTATTGCTAAAGTTGTCCTCTTAAATTGCCAAAAAGAAATTACTTGTTCACTTGGCCTAAATAGAAATTGAGCATATTTTTATTTTTTTGGGGCTTTTAAATACATAACACCCAATTATTCTATATTTATATATGTGAGAACTAAACTTTATTTTTTTATATTTATACCATCTTATATCACAACAAAAATATCAATATTTGAACTTTGTAAAAATTAAATATATCCTTTGATGTGTAGGCAATATGACATTTATATAAAAGTTGAATTTGGTTTTTGATAAGTATATACATAAGAATTAATTGGTGTGTATGTAAATTTTCAATTTTTTTATTTACGCATTTACCTATAGAACATTTGAACTACTCTAAACTATTATAAATGGTTGGATGAAAACCCTCATTTCAACTTTTCTCAGGGTTTGTTTGCGGAAGCTGTAGTTTTTTAAAGAGCTGCTGAAGGGAAGCTGTTGTTCAAAAAATCGAGACAGCCATTACAAATTATTTTAAAAGAATTATTTGTGCTCTGATGACTGAGCGAATTAAGCTCTTCTGTATAAGGAGGTATTTGACTGTCTGTAAGATTTGTGTCAAATGGGATTTAATAAATTTGATAAATCTGAATTTATCAAATCCAAATGCTGTAAATTGAGAATAATTTTCAGTTCAATTTAAGATTAATCCATTAAATTCATTTATCCCGTTTGGCATAAATCCATTTTTATGACTTTCTTCGTAAGCTAAATTCGTTAAATCCATGTAATTATCAGATTTAATAAATCTAAATTTATGTTAGCGAAATGTAACAGAAGGGAAGGAGAATTAAATTTAGCAAAGTGCGGATTTAATTTCTTCGATTTTTTATTATTTTTTTTTTTTGGGGGTAGATTTAGGTTAAATAGTAAGGTTGAAAATTAAATAATTTTTTTTTTTTAAATACGAAATTCATTCAATAATCTGCTGGCAGAAAAGAAGGTCAGCAAATGTCCTCAAACGCTTTTGAGTTTAAGAAATCTGCTTTTGATGGGAGCATTGTACAGCTAGCGATAAGTCACTTTTAGGGATGATTATTTAATTGATGGAGAAGAATTTATTATTTGCAAATAAATGTAGCTAATAATTTTCTATTGCTTTGAAAAGTTATCGATAACCCTTTTTTATGTTAGAGCAGAAATAGCAGGCTTTAAATCTTCAAAGTTAAAGTAAAGAGCGTTTTTCTTAAGACCCCTGCAATTTTCAAAATTCGATCACTGACATTTGCAGAGTTGCGTGCATCAGAGGTTATTCAGAGAGTATTGTGGGGCTATATCCGTGTTATACCCCCTTTGTAACATGGATATAACCCCCAAATACCCTCTGAATAACCTCCGATGTACGCAGCTCTGCAAATGTCTTACGCACACAAAATTTTCTCGTTGA